TGCAGCTCTTCGTGCCTGCCCAAGAGCTCATTTTTATTTCACAGACATTGTGTAGCTAAAAGCTTAGYTTAAAAGAAGGTCCAATGTCATCTCATGAAGATGCTTGGGAATACTAGGTTTGAAAGATAACACACAAATTTGGTGCACAGTTTTTATGGGTAAATGCACRCTTGATTTGTGTCTGCTTCCTCTGGAGCTGGCTGGGTGTGCTTGGTAGCTGCTAGGCAAGGGTTTGTGCCGTCGGTCCGTGTTGAACGTTACTGAAGGGAGCAGAGTTCAAGCAAAGTGGCAGCTTGGAGGAACTGACAGCCCTTCAGCAGCAGGAAGCTCTTCAGTCTCTATCAGCAATAGCTGGAAAAGGGTCCTGGAATCCCTTCTGTGACAAATGGAGCTGGAAGAGATCAAGACATGCTTCCCTGGATGGCCTCTTGGTTATGAGCAGAGATGAAACATGCCCAGCTACGTTTTATTTTATTTACAGCAAGAACTCTTCTTCTAACACATCTGGCCGGTGCCGAGGCGCCCGGCTCCGCTCGCCCTCTGCTTTGGCAAGTAGTTTTGCTAGCTGCAATGTTTTGTCACGTAGCTTGTTAAGCACGATAAGATTTTCCCTTGGTATTTTAATCCAGTCTACTTGGAACTTTTATTCCTTGTAAAGCAACAAGCGTCACTTGTTTTGGACAAGGTTCTCCTTGGTTGTTTGGAGCTGGCTCTCTGATGGAGCGCCAAGCTTGTTYAAACATCTTGGCATCTTCCTGATGCAAGAGATGCCTTGCAGGAAGGGAGCCACGACTTGAATGACAGCTGTGTTTCGRGGAGGGTTGCTCAGAACTGCTCTGTAAGGGCTTAGAGGCATGGCACTTTAATGGCATGATGATTTAATAGCATAGCTAATAATATTTATACAGACACATGTGCTAAGTAGGCTGCAACAACTGCATTTAAATCAAGGTGCATTCATTATTTTCTACTTAGGTAATTCTTTCGTGCAAAATACTTGAAAAATACCCATGCCTACGCACAACCGCTAAGGAAAAAATAGGTGAGTTAATTCAACAGAAAAGTAACATCAAGGATAGGAGGAAAGATAGTTCATAGGAGGATGCAGGACCTGAGGAGGTTTGAAAATCAGTTCTTTTATGCCCTATGTCACTTGGAAGTTGCCCAAGTGTACGCTCACCTCCTCTCTAAGAAACCAAATGGTTCTTATAGCTCTAATAGTGTTTTCCTACATCATAGTCCTGCTGCCAAGATTAACTCATGGTTGTTTCTTTCAAACACATAGAAATGGAGGGAGAATTTCTGTAGTTGGCTCTAAAGGTGCATCCTGCCGACCCCAGGGGACTGTCTGTCGCTGGGGCACCGTGCCTTAGGTATCATGCATTACAAAACCCACCATCAGCAATGTTTCTACTTCTGGTAGTCAGACCTACAAAGCAATGACAGTTTAGAAAACAACAACAAAACTCCCCAAATCCAGAAGACMTCTGGCATACTGTATTTGCTCTCTGTTTGAAGAAGCTTCGTGGTATGCAGGAATGGTGTTTTCTCTGTGTTCCGTAACCATGAGTAGGAAATACTTTTTTTTTTAATGAAAGTTAAGATCATAAGTCTCGATAGCTGGGGTTTTGAGAAACAAATCATGAATCACGAGACTCGGGATAAAGCTCCAGGAGCCAACAGTTTTGGAATATGCTAACATATGGAATATGCTACCTGGTGGAACTGGATTTCCATTGCCAGTTGAAGCTGTGGGGGTTAGAAATACATAAGGCTCCAAAGCTTAATCCCAGGTAGAGCCCTGACGCTGATCTTATATAAGAAGCCTTAAAATCTTTATTGCAACTCCAGGTGTTGTTGAATCCAGATCTGCAGACACTGCATTAGCCAGAGGAGTAGAAAGATTAGAAAGATTCTAGATTCAGAGATCCAAAGATTCCTAGGGGGACATGATTTCTAAATATTTAGAACTTTGGTTGATTAAGTTGTAATTATGAAGTGCCCTGAATGTTTCGTGGTGGCAAAGACTTAACAAACATGGTGGTTATCAGAAGTTTATCAAGTAAMAGGCTCAGATTTTATCTGCAGGAAAAAATGGGTTTCTGTATGCCAGAGTAATGCATCTGGGGCTGGATTTTTAGAGCCTGTATCTGTATCTCTCTGTCTGTCTCTGCCTCCTTATCAGTCACCTGGCTTCAATACCACCAAACTGTAGAAAGGCTCGAAAGCAAAATGAGAGGCTGGGATCTCATTTGAAATATTGTCTTTCCAGGCTGATATTTTTCCAGTCGTTCTGCCAGCACTCTCAGGTTTGAATAGTCTATTTAAATTGTCATCTCATCTAAGTGTAAATCTTGGCCCAAGCCAAAGCCATCTGTTGGTGGGTAATAGCTGTGATTTATTTTGCCTCTGGTTGACATTCATGCTCGTGGAGCAGATGCTGGCTTGTAGGATTTGCTTTTATTCACTTTCAGCTCTGTTCCATGTGTCAGCATCACAAACAGCACTTTAAATTCGGGAATTTTTGTCTAGTATTTAAAAGTAAGCATGAGTAATAGCATCATGCAGCCCTTGGGGTGTAATTTAGCATCCTTCAGAACAGGATTGGACAAAAAAATGTTTCATATGTTAGAAAGAGATTTGAACAATACTTATAAATGTCTATTTTCTTTCCAATCACTAATCTTCACACTGATTTATGCTGTGTATGTACAATTAGCTAATTCTGAAAAATAAAACTCCTGGCCATTTGAAGATTTCTGAGCTCAACAGAACGCTGTAGGTTGGGTACCTGAACTGCAAAGTCTGTGTAATATTTTGCCTCCATCTCTGCCTTCCAAGGAGAGATTGAGAGTACAATGAAAGTAATTGTAGGTACTCAAGTACCTATAATGCAAGTACTCAATGAGAGTAATAATGAAACGTTCTCAAGTTAGGACTGATTCTTATAGAGAAACTTCTGCACCTTAAAGACAGGAAGGAGATAGATAATTTTCCCTAACTCCAGGTTAGGAAAAAAGAAAAAGCACCAATGATGCAGCCAGTTCATTGTAGCAGAGATTAGGCAATTTATACATCTTGCACTTGAGCTCCTGCAGTTTGGACCTACAGCTGAGGGGATTTTATAGGTCTCTCTCCCAAAGCTGGTGTTGAAATGCAGAGGAGTTGTACGGAAACTCCAAAGCATGTTTGGATACACAAATACGAGTGGAAATGACTTCACTGTCTCACCATCTGCCTTGGAAACACAAGTCTCTGGGCCTTCCTTCCCACACTGCTCAAACTACATCAGTAAAACAGAAGAGGAGCAGGTGAATTGATGGAGAACTGGGCATCCATTTGTTTATCAGTCTTCAAGTAGGTTAGCAAAAAAAATAGTAGTGGTCATGTAGGCAGTACTGGATTATTTTGCCAGAAAGCACTCGATGTTATGGCTTCTTGGGAGCATTCAAAAAGGAGAAAAAACAAACAAGGAAAACCTTTCCAAAGCGCTGTTAAAAAGAACCCTCYTGTCATGCCAAAATGTAGAACTCCTGGACAGCTACTCCATAGGCTGCTTCCTTGGGACCCGTGCCCCTTTGATTTCCAGAAGAGCTTTTCTGTGGAGTTCATTGTCCTGCTGCRTGTCTCAGTGGTCCAGGAATGAAATGGGAATTACATATGTTGTCTGAGAATGGTTATGTGAGATGGGGTTTATAATTGTGGTGCAAAGATGGTTTTAATTAGWTTCATTTCTTCAAATCCTTTTCTCTTTTCATGGTTAGTCATCTGGCTTTTTTTTTTTCTTTGCAGCGGAAAGAACAGAGTGATATTTCTGAAATGTATCTATAGAATATTGCTGATGTATTTAAGGCCTAGCGAGTCTGTGTAGCTCAGTACCCTGAATCTTGGACATAACAGTTTAATATCTACATTTTAAAAAGGGAAGAATTTTATCTTGAAATTAAGTAACTAACTAATAACTAACAACTGTGTCCTGAAGAAAGTGCAGCTCTGCTGTGTCCCATGTGGTTTACAGGTCTCTTCTTACCCTTAACCAAAGGGCTCCTGTAAAGCCCAGCTTGCCAGTTCTTTAAAGTACAGTGGTAGTTTTCCACATGAGAAAACATGAGATGAGAATATCAGAAACTCAAACCAAGTTTTATTTTTCATTTATTTGAGATGGGTGTCAGTTTTGAAGTGAAAGGCAGCTGCTCTGAGGTGCTTTTAGGAGAGCTAGACCTGATAGATAGTACCCACTGCCAGTGSGTTCCCAGTTCCTCCCAGTGACACTAGGAATGAATTTGTAATAACTGGGATTATAGAAGAGAGGGGCAAACACAGAGGTTGGAAAAATGTTTAGTGATTGGCAGGTTTTGTTTTATTTACAGTTTGAGATAGAAATTTAACTAGATTTAATTATATAAACATAATCTGCTTTGAGCATTTCTATTGCACCCTGTCACCTCACAGCTGAAATAGAATATTCTAGCAAAAACACCACTTTGCCTCAGACTTTCCATGTAGATTTTGTCAGCAGAGCTCACATTTTGCACCCCATCACAACCCTGCCTGRTGCAGTCCTGCTGGAAGAGGCCTGTGATACAGACCTCAAGATAGATACAGCAAAATGACACCTATGCATAAAGCAAACAGCACTGGCAGTAGAGGCTCCAGTTCAGCAGAGCCCTTAACCACATGTTTAAATATCACAGAAGTCAAGTTAAATTACTTTAATCATATACRTAAGTGCTCTGTTGAACTAGGGCCTAGTAGCAGTTTCCATCCCTTTCCACACGATCAAGGCTTTTTCATATTCTTCCACATGCGACGGAGATTTCTTCTTGGTTGCACAGCATGAGCAATTGCTTTGACTTCTGGAAGACTCTCTCAACAGTTTGAAATTGCTAAGCTGTCGTAAATAGTTTTATGTGGAATGCCTGTAACAGAGAATGCAGTGGAATTTTCCCAGCTCGGTGCTGCCAAGGTAGATTTAACACATCTTTCCCCTTGTTTTCTAGGACCACCTGTTATTGCCAGCCACCACACATAACAAGACCAGAAGACCAAAGATGTCTATAGTATTGCCAGCTGTAAACATCAATGGTAAGTCTGAAACATGAAAGAGAATGATTGGAAAGTAATTTCAAAGAGATGTGCCCAACTTGTATGTGGAAACCAAACTCAGACCCAGTGTCTGTTCTTGTAGCCTTGACAAAGAAACCCAGCTGCCTCATCAGGGAGCTGCAGTTCCCAGGGTCCCCTCTGGAGCAGGGATGCTGGCAAGTCACCAAGGCTGGTCACTGTGACTGTAATGAGAGGCCAAATGCTTTGGCCAGTGGTTCTGCAGTCTCTGGTTGCTGCTCCTTCAGGGCTGTGGAGTGAGGACATCCAGTCCTGGTGATCTGTGTGTAGCTCCTTAGGGTACTTCATTTTGATCTAACTCTTCTAGCTTGGTGCTTCAATGATCACTTTGGGTATGGGGTGTTTCTCCAGCACCTTCAGCAGTGAATTTCAAAGCAAAGAATTCATTGAGTTTCTCTGCTGTGGCCCTAGCACTGCAGAGTGCCTCTTCTGCATGCTGTGCTCACTAGGTGCTGCCGTGATTTACTGAGATTCAGGAAGATAAAGGCAAAACTAGCATGGCATCAGCTTTTACCTTTGTACTAAACTCAGTTTTCAGTTTAAGAGCATTCACAGCTTGTACTTTGACTAAATATTAGACATACAGCTGGTGGACAAGGCTGGAACTGCCTTCATAAAACCCTGTAGAATGCAATGCATCAAAACTCATCCCTTTGTGGCTGCTCTGAATTACAGTGGTCTGATACCAGTGTAATAAACTTAGTAATGTGGCTTGTCCTCAGTCTTTGACCAGTCATGCCAACCTTGCAGACCTCAAAAATCAGCTTCACTTTTTAACCCTCTTATGAACGAAAAACAAAATCTTATTCTCGCCCTTTGCAAGCCACACTTCTCAATCCCACATATGCCACCTGCTCCCTGCCTGTTCTGCTTCTTGCCCTCTCCCTTGGGCTCTTCCTGCTCCACCTAACAGAGCAAATTCCTTGGCCTTACTGATTTTATTGGGATGCTGATGGCCTTCCCTCAGCTGTTCACCACTGTGTTGTGCAGTACTCATTACAAGTACTACATGGTCAACACTAGTAATAGCCACTTGAAAGTGCTGCAGGACATTAGAGATTACAGCATTAAGGACATTAAGGATTATTAGAGATCAGAAGTATTCATGGTCTTGGTTGTAGTCCCTCGTGAGAGACAGGGCAYGAACTGTACATAGTTAAATCATCTGGTAAGGACCTGCCACGTTAAGACATGTTTGGGACACAATCACCAAAAGTCATCAGATACATCGTGAACCCTGTAAGAGTATAAACTTTTTCTGACTAGCTACACGATGTAATGCCTTTTTAAAACTTACGTGCTTTACAGCACAAATGAATCATGAACCCAAATGTTTTGTTAAATTCAAGCATGCTGAAAACATTGTCTGATGATGCAGAATTTCCATAAACTTCTCTAAAAAAAAAAAAAAATCAGCTTAGGCGTCCAACATTTTGATAATTACGTTTTCCCATGCAGTATGGCAGGTCAAGTGTGATAATATATAACCAGCTATCTTGGGGAAATTCTTATTAGATTGCATCAGGATTATTTTTGGCATTTTTGTGCCCAAAACTCCCTTTCCTTGTTCATTACAAGAATCTTTTTCTGGCTGAGCTGAATTATCACATGCAGATGGACACTTTATCACTTAAAAAGTAAGCTCTACTTCTAATTTAGAAAATGTTTCATCATGAAATGATAGTCTTATTGTAAGTGAAAAAACTTCAGTTATGAGAGTAAACGTAATTTGGAAAATACGTATCAGTACCCAGTGCTAAGTCACATCCTTCATTAATGCTGAAACAATATGAAATTAAGTTCTTTCTTTTCTTCAAAACACRAGCATAATACAGGAAGTAAGAAGTGTCCAGGGATTTGGGCAGAGATGTTGAAACACATCAGACAAAAAATATCTTTAAGTAAACAACAGCATCAAACACTGCTTCATTTGTGACACTCAAGCACTTGATAGGAAAGAAATTTTAAACTATAGAAAAGAAAGTAAGTAACTTGGTTTCATTTTTAACTTGGTTATTAATAGATTACCTAGAGGAGACTGTTCTCATAAAGGTTCTGCCTGAAGAAGAGTCCTCCTCTCTCCTTTCACCACTCCTGCACCATCTCCTACCTCTGCAGGGTCTCTTCATCCTGAACAAGAATCTGGAAGCTGGCTCACAACAAAGCCTTTTCTCCAGCTGTCTGCCATTCTTTTAAGCCCACCTTAATTCTGTACCCACCTGCAGGGATTTGGCTCCTGGAAGAGGCTTGATCTCTCTGTGAGGAATTAGCAGGGAAAGAATCTGTCCCTTCCTGCCTCTTCCCATGCTGCAGCCAGGTCTTTGTGCAAGAGGAAACCTTTGCTACTTCCACTTGCTTTCCAAGTTCATTTTGCTGCCACAATCCTGGCAGAGCAGATAAGGGAGTGTAAGTGAAGCAGTGTTTACTCTGAAACATTTTCAGGGATTCTTCACTTGCTTTTCTTTTTCCCTATGAGTTCTTTATTTTACCTCATGAGGAAGTTTACCCTTGACACCGTTTCCAAATGTGAAACAACATATAGTTCAGCAGAGAACACTTGGACAATCTCTTCCCAACAGGACTCTGATGTTTTTCTGATTCCCGTTTGATTGCTTGAGTGCCTTCCGAGCTCCGTAAGAGGCTCTGCCTTTAGCTGGCTTGAGCAGTTCCCACTCGGAGCAGCAGGGATTCGGGCAGAGAGCAGGTAGAGACAAAGGCYAGCGGCCAAAATGCATTGTCATTCCCTGCCCCTGGGGACTCCATGGAGATGAATGGCTTGCTTCCACAAGATTTATCTAGCTGTTCTCACCAGTGAACAAAACAGAACCTAGTTTATAGTTTGAAAAGTTTTTCAAAATTCTTCTTGGAGGGAAATAATATAAATCTGAGCAGTGGCAGCCCTAGTGCTTTTCAGGAGATCTCAACAAAAAAAAATTGTAGTAGAAGTATGCATTTATGTGTATGCGTATGTGCACTCAATGTAATGGATGTCTAAGCGAACAGTATTGTACAAAGCAGAGAAATGTGTTATAAATTTTTGAGATAAAAACCTGGTAACAGTAATTTAGCTCCTGTATATTGCAAAACAAAAAAAGGGCATTATCTTATAAAGAACCTGTGTGCCCCTTTGCATGCTCAGACCAGACTGCCCCATGCCCTTCTCTGTGATCTTGGAGTTAGCCAGTGAAATCCTCACTGTGGGCTGCTTCACAGGTGCGTGAGAACTCTAAAATATGTTTAAATGTTAATTAAAAAAAAAAAGCTTATAGAAACTTGTGACGTGTTGATGCCTTCCCTTCCACCAATTCCTCCTCTCCCAGGCCCCCTCCAAGCTTCCTGGGCCATCTCCCATGACTCACAGCCAGTGCTGGCTCATCCGTCCCTGCATGCCTGCCTTCCTGGATGCTTGCACTGTTCTTTGCCCTGCTCCCATTTTTCCCTTGGCTCCTGTCACTCCGTGCAGCTCCCTCTTTGACCCCTGCAACCAGCCCAAGACAAAGCCCAGCAATGTTGGAGGACACAAGCAGTATTCATAGGAAATCCATCTGATGGGACCTTGAGGACCTCAGTGCTGGCGTGCCTGGGGGGAAAGAAAAAGCAGAAGTGGGTAGTGGGAATCCCACAGCACATAGTTCGGAGGGCACCACTGGTATGTCTTTATAGAGAACTTATTCCAAGAAGAAACATCAGGCAGTTTCTCATGGGAATGAAAAGCAACTGCAATTAACGGTTAAACTCCAGTTTTTGTTTTCAAGTAAGCCATGTTTGTTATGCAGGATTGCAGCTATTATTTTAGAGATCTAACTATGCACTTGAGAGCAGTTAAGTCTCCAGTAGATTTCATTCCTGCATTTGCTTTTAATGTAATTCGGAGTCTTGTTGGCTCATTACAGCAATTCCAAATTGACATATAAGCGGTGCTTTCCTTGAAGTTTAAGTGAAAACATCTGCCATTAGCCTCGTATTGACTTAACCCACTGCATTTTTTACAGCAGTTATAACATTGGTCTTGGTATCACAATAATCTATAGAGTACAGTATAACTAAGTCCCTCTTTCCACCCAGGCACAGACCTTCACTCTGTCYGGGGTGCCTGCAATGCAGCACACACCACCAGCAATTCTGTGCTTGCATGCAAAAGTGAGAGCATAAATGTTGTCATTCAGTGCAGGAGACAGAATTCACAATTCAGCCAAAGAAGCCRCTTCATTGCTAGGATTGTTGCAGCGTTTGCACTTTTACTGGTTGCCCTTTTCTCCCAGTAGGAATAGYTGTAAAAAGTGTACACTCAGTGTGAATGCTGGTGGCCTCAGCAGCAGCACAAAGAGCAAAAGGGCCTCTTTTCTTCTTACAAATCCTGTGCAAAAAAATCGCCATCACATGTGCAAGACCTTCTTTCATTTGCTCTCTCTAAATTGAGGCCTGGAGTTTCYAGGCGCTGCCAAACAGAAGTGCGGGACTTCATGGGAAAGCCCTGGAGAAATTCCCTTGCCTGAGCACTATAGGAGAGCAGGCTGGGCCTGAAGGCTGTCACTGTTGTCCTAGGTATTTGGSGGTGGGCAAGACTATGGCTCTGCTGATCTGGGGGGCCTCGGTCTCAATGACTGTGGCCTGTTTTTCTCTGGAGTGGAAAGAATGACTTCTTTAACTTCTGTCTTCTCTTGTCCCTGGAGGAAACATTTTCCAGCTAAATGTATTGGCTACCAAAAAAGTCATGTTCTTTCTCTGTTTTGATGGAGAGCCTCCTTAGCCTGTTTGCCAACTGGTATTTCAGGCCTGCCTTTTCCCATGCCTATGTCATTGTGGTGAGTGGCAGGTTCCTATTCAAGGAATTGCTCCCAGTTTATGTGAGTGCAGAAGTCAAGAGCAGAAGCTGCTAACTCAGAAGTTGCCTCATGCAGTTAAATAATCTGCTACAATATGGAATAAGTTACCACAATAGGGTTCTTAGTTATGAGCAT